TTTTTTTTTCTTTCCCATTATTTTTATTTCAATTAATATATAATAATTAACTAAATTAATCAATAATTAATAAGTTTTATCATTTCTTCCTTTTTTTTTCTTTCCCATTATTTTTATTTCAATTAATATATAATAATTAACTAAATTAATCAATAATTAATAAGTTTTATCATTTCTTCCTTTTTTTTTCTTTCCCATTATTTACAGCTTTACAATATTCCACGTCATATGGATACATTGCTATTAGATGGTAATGCAATAGATGCGGAATATGTTCAACATTTTGAAAATTCATTTCGTTATATTGAAATGATTAAAATTAAAACGAAAAAATTAATGCGCGGATTGCATTGTTTACAATCAAACGGGCGCTATTTACTATTTATATTTGGTGGAAATGAGAAAAATTACGGTTATGTGTATGCATTTAATGGTATAAATTATTTTTAAATTTTTAATTTTTTCTAATTTTATTATAAAATAAATCTATAATTTTTTTTTGAAAATTAACAATTTTCAAAATGAAAAAATAAATTTAAAAAAAATGAAGAAAAATTTCATTGAAAAAATGAATTTAGAAAAAAACGAAGAAAAATTTTGGTTTTTTTTTTAAAATTATTTGAATAACAGGTTATAAAATTATGAAAAACAATTGTTAATCGTAAATTTTTTTAAATTATTTGAATAATAAGTTCTAAAATTATGAAAAATAATTGTTAATCGTAAAAGATAACAAAAAAAAAAAAAAGTTGGATAAATTTGAAGTTTATTGCATTTATGAGTAATTTCAATTAAAAGTTTAAAGGTTAACTAAAAATTACTTATCAACAACTGTTGAATTTAATCACTTGTAGCAACCATTAAATTATGTTGTAAATAACAATAATAATTTTTTTTTTATCAACAATTCATTTTTAGCATATCCGGTAGAAACATTAAAATGGACGATGGAAAATAATCCAAGCTTATATCATCAGGAAATTTTTGGTAACTCATTTATAACGTTATTTCCATGGATGACAATCGATAATAATACCACTGATAAATTTATCACCGCTTTAACTCTTGATATTCTTAATCCACATCCATATATGATTGCAAAAGTTCAAATTAGCTATCAGAATGGATCAAAAGGAAATTTAACTGAAATGACATATGACATTAAGCCATATACACATCATAAGGTTGGTTGACAATTTCTATTTTTCATAATTTTTTTTTGTTCTATAAATTTAATTTTTAAACTTAGTTTTTTTAATTTAGTTTTTTTTTTCAAAACTTAATACAATCTCTTAATAGCATTTCAATTCGACAACACAACATTCTGCCACGCGGCTGTTAATATTAAATATTTAAAGATTAACGAAAAATTTTCTGTTATTTGGATATTTTTATGATTTGTTTCAATTATTTAAATACCTGTGAGATTGTTAAATTGCAAACTTAAATTTTAAAAAAGATAATTTTTATTTGTTACCTAAAATTTCCATTTTCAGTTAAAAATGAATGAATTAATGATGACAAAGTTTCATGATCCATATGATATTGGCATTTATAAAAGTGATTACGATTCACGAATTATGATAACATCCACTATTCCGATATCTGTTACCCAGGGTTGTTTTGCTAATAATAAAATTGGTGACAGTTTTACAGGTATTTTACGCAATCATCATTCCAGTGTAAAATGATTTTATTATGATATTTCATTCTTTCATAGAATAATAATGATCTTAAATTGTTGCTATTCAAATTCTTAACTTCTATCTTTTTTTTTTTAAGAAAGAAAAAAAAATTCTCTGGAATATGCACTTCAGTTGGAAAAATAATTTTTACATAATATACAAGAAAAAAAAACAAAAATATATAGAAAAATAAAAATATATGTAAAAATAAAAAATGTGTTACAAATATAATTTTCCCATTATCTTCTTGATAGTTAATATATAAATATGTAAAAATATATGCATATATTACTGCACATTGATAATCTTAATGAAAAGTTATAATATAATTTTACATTCTTATTCCATATTTGTTTTTGTTATATCACTTTGACCGGTAACACTATGATCCATTATGTTTCCAGGTGAGAAATGGAATTGAAATTATGAAAAATTAATGAATTAATAAAAATTTTATAAATTAATAAATTGGATAACTTTTGATAAAATTACCAAATTTAACTGTTTTTATTTTCAATAAACAATAAAAAAGAAATGTTTTTGTTTCGTAGTTGTTAGATTCATTTTAGATCCACAAATACTATTAGATTCATTTTAGTTTTTATTGTTAGATTCATTTTTTTTAAATATTGCTAGATTCATTTTTACAAATATTTGTTTAGATTCATAGATACACAAATATTGTTAGATTCATAGATACACAAATATTGTTGGATTCATAGATACACAAATATT